GCCCAAGCTGGATTCGAACCTGCCACCTTAGGTGTACATGGCTGGCGCCTTAGCCACTTGAGCCACAGGCACTGAGCCCCTAAAACTATTCTTGAAAGGAACTAGGGCTCCTCATAGAATAGCTAACCCCATTGTTGTAAAGGGCACGGAATATTCATGTTATGACTAGAGTATCTAGAGTATCTTGTTGCCTGGAATCACAAGACAAAGGGAAGGAATAAAACAGAATGTCATTCAAAGAGCACAGAATGCTGTAGAGATAATGGTGTAGAAGAAGCAGAAGGACTGTAGGTGTGACAATTTCATTACAGAATGACAGAAAGAAAAAGATGCTGGGTTTAACTGCTTCCAGATTTGATCACAAAAGGATATAAAGTGTTTCAAAATAAAGGCAAGTTGATACTAAAATCATATATGTTATACAGCTATTAAAAAAATACTTTAACCCATACATTTTCTTCCAAAACTATAAGTCATTTGTGAAGAAAAAAACTGCTTTGCCAACTATGAAAAACAACTATGTTACATGAATGATTTATTTAACCGTTATAGACTCTCATTTCCTGATAAAATTGGCTTGTAAATTCAACAGAATTATGGAAAGTAAAAATTCTAGTAATATAATTGGAGCCATCATTTTTAAGAGGAGACCCAATATAGTAGGTAGTGATTTGGGGAACCAAAGTATGGACCAAAAAGTATATAATGGTACATCTGCCCTTAAACTTGATGGAAAAAAACCCCAAACTGTATAAAATAATTTAATAACTAAGTATGTATGACTGTGGTTCAGAGAGCCATGCCCAAGAAGTCTTGAGCAAGTGGTTCCCAAGGTGGTCAGGTTAAAGTTTGATTTTATACATTTGTGGAGATGTTAGTAGTTGCTGTTAGCCTGAACAGCCATTTCATGCAGGATGCTACTGGTCAGGCCTTAACAAGGCTGATGAGTCTATGTCCAATGAGCCTACATGCTGACATCTGAAGATTGGTTATTCACTTCTAAGGTCTACTGTCATAGATAAGTTGGGAAACTGGACTCCATGGTACCAGTTAAGGAGCCAGGGCACTCTGTGCACCCAGTGAAGTGTTGGCTAACTATAAATTTAGTCTAGAGTAAAAATACTTTAAAGATATAGCCACTTTAAGCTGGGAAGGTATTATGTAACCTTGTAACCTATAAGGAAAAATCTGTTTAACATTTGGTATGATGAGTAATAACATTGCTGATGTTTACTTTTACTATGAGAATAAAAGTAGCAAAGGTAAACAGGAAGGCAGAACAGCTCCTTGAAGAGATATCCTCATGGGTGGCACCTGTGGCTCAAAAGGTGTAGGGTGCGGGCCCCATTTGCTGGAGGTGGTGGGTTCAAACCCAGCCCTGGCAAAAAAAAAAAAAAAAGAGAGATAGCCTCGCTGTTTTCCGGAATTGCTGGCTTTTTTGTAAATGAAAATGAAACTGTTGATTTCTTATCCTTTGCCCCGTTGTTTGGCTTGGGTGACAGGTGGACAGACTCCTTGGTCTGGCAACAGAGACAGGAATTACAGGTAAAACCATAAATCAATACATGGAAGGCATACACTGGTTCATCCCAAAAAGATAAGCTCAGGCTTACCAGGCATAGGTGGGTTTTAGGAACTCTTTAGTTATGATGCAGGGGTTGTCCCAATGAAGAGAGGAAAGCCACCTGAACTCACCAAGTAGGTTCTTGTCTTCATACAAGAAAAGAATTAAAGAACAACCAATGCAAAGTTTATTATAGCTAGACAATGGAACCCACTCCACAGACGAGTAGTGGTCCTCTCCCAAGGAGTAGGGGAATATTTATTGGGCAATGGTAACATTTTTTTTTTTATTTCAAGATACTTTATTCTTAAAACAGGTCACAACACTAAGCTTTTGGCCTATTCTTCCACTGTATAAGCTACAAATGTTTGCTGAGCAGTGGAGGGGTGCTCGTTCATAGCATGTCTGAAAAGTGAATAAAAATCCATATAAAACAAATATTCAAATAGTTTCCATAGGAACACAGATACGTGTGACCCCTACTTATGCTAGTCTTACATATTGCTGCATCTGTGCTAACCCTACTCTTACAAAGACATTTATTTATTTATTTATTTATTTTTGAGACAGAACCTCTAGCTGTCACCCTGGGTAGAGTGCTGTGGTATCACAGCTCACAGCAACCTCCAGCTCCCGGGATCAAGTGATTCTCCTGCCTCTGCCTCCCAAGTAGCTGGGACTACAGGAGCCCACCATAACGCCTGGCTATTTTTTGGTTGCAGCCGTCATTGTTGTTTGGCAGGTCCGGGCTGGATTTGAACCCACCATCTTTGGTGTATTTGGCTGGCGCCTTAGCCACTTGAGCCACAGGTGCCGAGCCAGATATTTCAATTTTAAATAGTTATACACGCAACTTAAATTCTCCCAGATTTATGAAACAGAACTTGATGACTCTGAGTAATATGATATCCCATAATACCATAATAGTCAGAGACTTTAACATCCCTCTGACAAAACTGGACAGATCCTCTAAACAGAAACTAAAAAAAAGATACAAAGGACTTAAATATGACCCCAGAACAAATGGGCTTAATAGACATATACAGAACACACCATCCCAAAGCTAAATAATATACATTTTCCTCATCAGCCCATAGTACGTACACCAAAACAGATCACATCCTAGGATACAAATCAAACTTCACCAAAATAAAGAGAATAGAAATTACACTTTGTGTCTTCTCAGACCACAAGGCAATAAACGTGGAACTCAAGTCCAACAGAAACATTCATCTCCACAGAAAGATTTGGAAATTAAACAACCTTATGCTGAATGATAGTTGGGTTCGGGAAAAGATAAAAGAGGAAATGATTAAATTTCTTAAACCTAACAACAATGAAGACACAAGTTACCAAAACTTTTAAGGAGGCCAAGATCATTACATTCATTATCCTGGTGCTCTGCTGGCTCTCTTTTCTTCCCACTTCCCACAGCACCAAGGGGAGGCTATGGTGGCCATAGAAATCGTCTTCATCGGCTCGGCGCCTGTGGCTCAAGTGGCTAAGACGCCAGCCACATACACCTAAGGTGGAGGGTTGGAATCCAGCCTGGGCCCACCAAGCAACAAGCTGCAACCAAAAAAAAAAAAAAAATAGCC